CAACTGTGATGTGCTAGCTCACAGAAGAAACAAAATATTAGGTGCATATCGACTAGAGAATAAAAATCATTAAAAATTCCCTCCGAAGGATGAGATGCTAAATGTCTAAATACAAAGGGATGCAATACAGAAAGGCTTAACCTATCCCATAACCAATTACATTGCATTACATATTTTAACTATCTAGTCTGTTTTAATACATGATCTTTAAAATATAATACATTACAATGTATCATACTACAATATATTTAATTAATACTACATACACATAGTAGAAAAGTTTTTAATCAAAAATTCACACACATATATCTTTCTATTTTTTTTATTTAAAAAAATTTAAAGTTAACTCTTTATTAATTTAGAAATAAAATTATACTCTCACTGAAATATAATAGTAAAAATTTAAATGCGAGTAAGCACTGAGAGAGCAATAAAAAGAACTTCACAAACGTTATCCAAACCATTTTTTAAGATTAGCAGAACATGAGTGAGATAACATGGTGAATCTTCTTGTATGAAACTAGAATCGAAGTAACAAAAGTCTTTTGGATTTCGGTAAACCACTGGAAGATAGTTTTATTTGCTGAAGAAATAAAACTTCCCGTCAACAAAAATTATGGTGGCTGCGGTGTAGACGATGAACGAGTCAATTAAACACGTCCTGTGCAAGTATCTAGATTTGGCTAGTTTAAGCATTTTTTTACTAAAGCGTAAAGGTGGAACAAAAGTCACAAATATAGATCTTTAAAGATTTTAAGGTTGTAATTTGGCTTCTTCTTCTTCTTCTTAAATCGTGTTTATGTATATATAGCAATAAAATGGTGATTCAGCACTAATATTCCCACTGAAACTAAACAATCACACACTTTATTAATATCGGCTAAAATTTACCGGATAATTATAATTAATTTCTCGTATTACTTTTAAACTTTTATATTGTTCTCTTTAATATCTCAACCAAAGTTAGGAACTAAGATGTATTTCTTAAGTTTTGTCATGAAGAGATATTTATTCAGGGCAACAATACGAATGCTTAAAACGAAATAAAAAATTAATAATTTTAAATAATTAAGGACATTTGAAGGCGATTAAATCTAATAAAAAGTATAATGAACAGTTTTTTAATATGTAGTAAATGCAAATTTGTTGCCTCATTAGTTTCCCAAGCAAATAGCAGTGCAGCACGCCAACGAACCAAAGCAAAATTTACTTCTCGATTGAAACTTCCAAGGATGTACAAGTACGAGTACGAGGGGGGCATGTAAAACAAATCACAACACTTCTAATCTAAATTATTACATGTGAAATGTGTTTGCTTTCTTACACTTAATAACAATTTACATTTAGCAAAATCATTGCATTACATTTTTTCGAAGTGGAAACATGCAAACAAATGAAACGAGTAGTGGCACGCTCCAGGAGATGTCAGGGGAAGGCATTGTGTACAAACTTAAATAATGGAATCACAAAACTTTACAAAGTAGGAAAAAATCTTCTACACATGTGAATATGTAAATTAAAGCCACAAAATTGTATGAAAGCAGTTTGGTGTGCACTTGATTCGCTTGGTTGAGTGATACAGCAAATGAGCTGAAAAGGCACTGCTCCTACCAGGAGTAAACCAAGTCAAAAGCTCAAGCCAGATGGAAGCATAAGTTCCATACCTACTTTTAGACATTACTCGAAAGTTACTTTTACATCCACATACATTGTATACATACATTGTACATATAAATGTAGAAATCTAGGAATTTAAGGGAAAGCATTCTTGACACGGAACCACAAAACATACATAATTTTCTCTTGAGCATGCTTAGACTGGAAAAAATGTTCTTAAGAATAAATGAAAATAAAATTATAAATTCAAAAAAAAAAGTTTGAATAGAAAAAACTTGTAAACAAGTAAATTTGTAATTTTCCATTTTTTTGTTGTTTTTGTCTTCGGTTTTAAGCATTTTTAAATAAGAAAACATCTTTAAACGACAAAAAAAATAGAAGAAAAAAACTGGAGTGAAAGGAGTAAAATCACGTCAGACGCTCAGCTTTAGGCATAAAGGAGGCGGCATTTTACTTGTATAAACATTGACATGAGACATACTTGGACGAGTCGAGAACGAGTTAAACGACACACACCACTTCAGTTGCTTGGCACAGTCAACCAAACTTTGTCGGCATCATCAACGCCTATTTAAACCCTTTTGCCTTTTCACATAATTTTATTCGGCTTGGCTGTCGTCCTTTTCTGTTATTTCTATTGCTGAGCACATATCCTTAGGCGCGATTTACATGTCACTTTGCGTACACATTTATGCTGCCTGCCCTCGAGCGAATTTTTCCTTATTTTTAACATTTTTATACGTTGTGGCAGTTAAGTACGTTTTGCATCTTAAGCAGCTAAAACCTACCGCATCCTGGTCCCATTTTCAGTAAGCTCCCATTTTTTTTTTTTTTTGTGGTGCGATTTTTGTCAACTTCAGCTGGCAGCATAATTTTTGCATAATTTCGCTTTCTTATTTTTTTGCTCTGTACAAATTTCCACAACCTTTCAACTCTTCCATGCCTGTCTTGAATGTAGTTTGGTTCAGCTCGGTTCGGTTCGTTCGGTTTGGCTTGGCTGGGCTGGGCTGGGCTAGGGTTAGTAAGTTTAGCAGCAAAATTATCGCTGACAAATGTGCATATCCTTTTTTCAGCCTATGGACTAGGCACATTGACGGCGCTTAGCATAGTGGTGGCATCTACGGTTTAATATTTTTGCTTAAAGCCCAAACCTTGAATTTTTATCCACATAAATTAGGCTGCAGTGAAGTGAACATATTTTCGGCATTCAAATTGTTACGCACTTTGCGGGAATTTTTTATGAGTATCAATTTGAAAGGCTTTTAAAAAATTTGCCGTCGAAATGGCATAAATTATTTAGTAATGGAAATGGAGCACAAGCATTCATGGCAAATGCTTTTGGATAAAGGGGTTCGAGCTTGTTAATGATGTGTCTGGGAATATTAATAAAAGCAATGCTTGAAAAAATCCAGCATT